GTAAGAGATACTCATATAACAGCCTCTAGTGTCTCTCTCTCTCTCTCTCTCTCTCTCTCTCTCTCTCTCTCTCTCTCTCTCTCTCTCTCTCTCAATTTCAATTTCAAATTAGCTTTATTAGCATGACTGTGTAACACAATGTTGCCAAAGCATATTAAATATAAATAATAAAACAAACAGTGAACATATATGTATAAATCATGTCATATGTAGCATTGTAAATATATAGATAAATAAACACAATCTATCTTAATAAATAGATAAATAAATACATTTGATCACTCTGGAGAATTAGCTGTCTCTGGCGTTGTGAATAGCTAGCACATATTTAGCCGCTAGTGCAGCTGTATTGACATCTTCTCCCAGTAAGAAGGACATTTTGTCAGTGTCGCTCAGTTCATAGAATGATGGGATCAAGGCTTCAAATTTGGGCAGAAAAGTGTCTCTTATACTGATATATTTAGAGCAGAAGAGCAGAAAGTGTTCCTCATCCTCTATGTGCTGTAGATCACAGTGTCTACAGATCCTCTGCTCTCTCTCTGTCCATGTCTGTCTATGTCTTCCTCTCTCTATCTCTAGATCATGGTCACTTAATCTGTATTTGGAGAGGATTTGTCTGTCTTTAAAATGTTTAATAAATAGATAACTGGCCAATTTAGTGGTTCTATTGAGGGTCGAGTAACATTGGATTTTTTTCTGGAGGTCAAAATGAGCTTTTAGTGATTGATCATGAGTGTGTTTTAGATGTGTGTGTATTTCTTTAACAGTAGTTGTGGGGCTGTAGCTGTGGTCAGTGGGGAGTGTAGTCTGATGGACGAGTTGAAGAGCAAGTGTGTGTAGAGGATGAGGTTCTGCTGAGCTTTCATTGGCGAGGAGGGCTTTATATTGGACTGACTCTGGATCAGACTGATGGAGGTGATGCCAGAACTGAACACATCTCTTCTGGATCTCGATGTTCAGCGGGTACAGGCCTAGCTCAGCCCTGCAGGCGGCAGTGGGTGTGTTTCGGTGAACCCCTAAAATATTTTTGGCAATTTCCAATTGTAATTTTTCTACTGGTGTTTTATCCCAATTTTTAAAATTTTGTACTGGTCCCCAAATTTCACATCCATATAAAATAATTGGTTTTATTATTGAATTATATAATTTGATCCAGGTTTTAATGGGTAATTTTAAGTGCCCGCATCGTGACTTTATAGCATAAAAAGCCCACCGAGCCTTTTCACTGAGTGTTTTTATTTTATTTTTTATTTATTTATTTATGAAGGGACCATGCACAATTTTTAACATAAAATTTCCATTTCATGTATTGTACCGGATTTAGCCAAAGGCTATTTTTCATCCGTAGTCCCCCAGACAGGACAAAGCTAACAAAACATTACACAGACAATACCTATGTTCACATACAATAAATACATACATACACACTGTCAAGGCCATAAAAAACATAAATAAATAAATCAGTCAATCAATTTAACTACAACAATCTCAATGGTTACATAATTGGTTCAATTTTAAAAAAGATTTTAACTTCAATTTAAAAAGACCATGAGCTTTACACCCTTTTATGTCCTCTGGTAGGGCATTCCACTGATTAGTGGCTTTCACTGCAAAAGATGATAGTCCAAATGCGGAACGACGAAAAGGAACCAGACAATTACTCATCATAAGTGATTGTCTGGTAGATCTCACAGAGGTTTCACAGCGAAGATTAATAAAGTCACGTAATACAGAAGGAGCCAGACCGTTTAGGATTTTATGAACCATACACAAACTTGAATATCTAAAATTGTCAAAGTTTAGAAAATTATGTTTCTCTATGATCCTACAAAAATGAAAATGGTTAGGTTTTTTATCTAAAATGTTTAATGTCTGTTTACATAGAGATTTTAAGGGTTTAATAACAGTTTCACCCGCTTGACCCCAACATGTCAAACAGTAAGACGTGTGAGAAAAGATTGTAGCTTGCAAAAAAGCCTTAGCTACATCAAAAGAAAGACATTGTCTAATTTGTCTAAAGTTTGCCATATTATATTTAATATTCCTCACCATTTTCTTTACATGTTTTTTAAAACTGAGATTTGAGTCCAATATTATACCAAGATAATTGAGCTCATTTACTATTTCTATCTTTTCACCGTTAATAAAAATCTCAACATCAGGAGATTTAACATTTGTTTTAGAGAAAAAAAAGTCCTTTTGTTTTACTGATGTTTAGGCTAAGACATGACTGTTCCAGCCACTGTGTAATCTTTTCTGTAGCAGCTTTTAACTTCTCAGCCGCTAATTCTGCTGTTTTCGCATGTATAAAAATAACAGTATCATCAGCATACATTTGTACTTGTATCCCTTCACACTGTTTCGGAAGATCATTAATATACAAACTAAATAGTAAGGGACCTAGTACTGATCCTTGGGGTACACCCATTGTATAATGCAGATCACAGGACTTAACCCCTTTAATTTTTACACATTGTTCTCTATTTAGTAAGTATGAGGATACCCATGCCAAAGCTTCAGGTGAAAATTGAAATGTAGACAATTTAGAAAGGAGAACTGTATGATTAACGGTATCAAAGGCCTTACATAGATCTAAAAATATAGCCCCAACAAATCCTCCTTTGTCAACTTTAGATTTTATTTGCTCTATTAAATGTAAAGTAGCTGTTTCAGTAGAATGATTTACTCTGAAACCAAACTGCATACAATGTAGGCCAAACTCAGTGGTGTTAAGATGGGATGTCAGCTGTTCAAAAACAATCTTCTCTGCAACCTTTGAGAGTACTGGCAGAATGCTTATGGGTCTGTAGTTACTAACGTTATAATGGTCTCCAGATTTAAAAATAGGAGTAACAATAGCTTTTTTCCACGCAGTAGGAAAAACACTACCTTTAAATGACAAATTAATTAAATGAGTGAGGTTAAACTATCTTTGTGAGTTTTAACAAACATAGTATCCAAATAATGAGCATCTTTACATTTTGAATTTTTCAATGAGCTAATAACGTTATTAACTTGCGTTTCATTTGTCTTCATTAGATTAAAACTTTTACATACATCCTCAATTGGACTAATATTTATTTCCCTTTTTGAAAACATATCCCCTAATTCTTTAACGGAGTCCATAAAAAAATTATTAAAAAAAGTAGCAATGGCACAATCATCTTCAATTAACTTTCCCTTAATTTTAAGTTTAATATCTCCTATAAAATTTGGTTCCTTCGTAAAAGAGTATTTATGTTTTTCCAAATTAGCTTACTATTCCCTTTAGCCTCATTCATTAGATGAAGATAATAATTGGATTTGGCTACTCTCAGCTCTCGAATAACTTTGTTACGCAGACCCTTGTAACAAAGCCTATCAATGTCTCTTCCAGTCCTAATAGCTTTCTTAAATGCTGAATCCCTACTCTTCATCAGCTTCCATAAATTCACATTGAACCACGGTAAAACATTCTTATGCTTGAATTTTTTCTGAACACCAACAGTAAATTTCTCTCTTACAGAAGTAATTCTATTATAAAATGTATTACAACCGTAATCTATATCCTTGGAGGATAAAATATCATTCCACTCTAGATCTGCTATTGCTTCATCAAATGCTACTAATTTTCCTTTAGGTATACAATGAAAAACATTAGTAGGGGTTTATATTATTTTTAAATCTGTTTTTCGTTAGTTTCCGTGCAACTAAGGTTAAATTGTGATCAGATAACCCAGTGATCAAATTATAACTCTTGATTATCCTTTCAGGTTTATTAGTAAATATTAAATCTAACTGCGTCTTTGAAGATTTAGCAATTCTAGTTGGCCCTTTAATTAACTGATTTAGATTAAATTTATCTGCCACAGTTTTCAATTTTTTCCTCTTTAATTTATCTTCCCAATTCAAATTAAAATCACCCATAAGAATTATTTCTTTGTTAGGATTACATTCTTTTAAAATTCCTGTAAGTTGATCATAGAATGTATTGTTAGCAGAAGGGGGCCTATATACACATAAAACAATAAATGACATTTGAGGAGATAGAATCATTTTCAACCCCACAAATTCTAAATCATTAGCGGAGTTAAACATGAGACGTTCACACTTAATGCTATCTTTAACATAAATGAACACTCCCCCTCCCCTTCCAGAAGATCTATCCCGTCTGAAACATTGATATCCAGGCATATTAAATACACTAGAAGATGATGATTGCTGCAACCACGTTTCAGAGATACAAAGGAAGTCCAAGTTTGAATTGGATAATAAATGAGACAACTGTTTGCTCTTTGCAACAATGCTTCTTACATTCAAATGACCGCCAAAAAGTCCTCTCGGTTTCACTTTCGGATCCCATAGGACCTTCGCATGATTAGCAGTCTGAAATATCTTACATAATGTCTGCCTTCTTACTGCAGGATTTCGGCACGAGGAAGCGTTTCCATGATACATTGGTGTTTCTTTTACTCTTGTAGAATGACTAGAAAGTAGTGTAGAAGTGTCATACCTTGGAGCATTGAGTACGTTGTTGATTAAACTCACTTCATTGTTCGGGAGGCCAGGTAGATCTACAGGAAATCCCCAGGCACACCCTTCACTGTTGTTGCCAAGTGAGGCTCAACTCCAGAGTCCTGCTTTATTCCTGGGTAAACTGGTCCCGGATTTAATTGAACATCCCCGCAAAGCAGCAGTAAGATAAGCAAGAAACCATGAGTCTTTCGAGTAGACGCACCAGTTCTCCGTTGTCTGACGGTCTGTTTGCATATCACAGCGCGTCCATAACTCAAAACAGATGAATAAATTGCATGATAGCCGAATAAGTTTTGATGAAAACTTCCCGCACGGATAAATACCGGGAGAGGATCAAATTGAAAACAGTTTTTTCCCTGATCCACGTAATTGCTTGAGTGCTTGAAGCACAGCTGATCAGTGTAAACAGTTTTAGACACCACACGTACCGGTAGTGCAATGGTGGAAAAGAGTAGTAGTGTAAAAAACATACTACAAAACATAGA